CTTCCAAGGTGTGGTATTAAGATCCTTTATTTATCTGTGGAAATTATATTTCCACAGATTTGCAAGCACAAAGTCTACTCCCACATGCTCATTACTCCGTGCCCTGCATTCTTGCCTTTCCTACATCTTGGCCTCTCTTCTCATGGTAGTTTGATTGAGATAGACTATACTATTACTTCCTAGAATATTAACATTGTTCACTTTAACATTCCAATTTCCACAGGAACCCACAGATTGCTCTCACTGTATAATGCAAGACCCCTACTCATACACAGGACAATTTTTTTAGGATTCTGCTTGAGTCAATATGTGCAGGGGGTTAAGACGCAGATATCATTATCCATGAGAGATGGCTGAGTAACACTGCTGGCCACAGAGCTCTTGTATATCCCTTGAAATATTATTTTTAATGCTCACTGTGTTTGCTGTGACCTATTATTGTCTTTAGTGCCTGTGTGAGCAGCCCTGCGTAAGAACATGCTATATGAACATGCACTGCCAGCATCAAATTTTGTTCATTCATGTTGTATACACAGCCTTCTTCTTTTGAGGGCTGAATACAACTTCATTCTGAATATGTACCTCATTTTCCTTATCCATTCACCCATGATGAACACATAGGTTGATTTCATTACTTGCCTGTTGTGAAAATGCTGCAGTGAACTTAGAGTGCACATATGTATTGGACATACTGATTTTAAATCCTTTGGAGATACACTTACCTTCTGCAAAAATTGGGGTTAGATACATAAACTCTGTGGGCCTGTGGTCATTATTCAAAATAATGATAATTCACCTCAAGGATTTTTCAAAAATTTAGTGCTGTTACATGGTGTGGAATATTGCAGGTTTTACATTAAAGACAAAAGTTTCTTTGCATAAGATTTATCAACCTTCTATTGTGTTTATCAAAACACAGTCTTTGGCCTGTCTTAGTAAACTCATCCTGCCACAAAAAATACCATAGATTAGGAGGCTTAAACCAAGGAAATTTATTTTTTGTAGCTGTGGTAGCTGGAAAAAGACAGTCTCTTCAATAAGTAGTGCTGGAAACACTGGATATTCAAAAGCAGAAGAATGAAATTGGATCTTTATGTCATACCATATACAAAAATTAGCAAGAAATGGATTAAAACCAGAACTTATATAACTACTAAAAGAAAATGGGAAAAACAAAATGCCATTGATTGTAGTAATGATTTCCTTGAATTTGTCTCCAAAAGATCAGCCAACAAAAACAAAACTAGACAAGTCGGATTGCATCAAATGAAAATGCTTCTGCAGAGTAAAGGAAACAATTAGGAGAGTGAAGGCACAACCTACAGATTGACAAAATATTTCCATGTTTTACATTTTACAGTGGATTAATATTGTAAAAGTATAAGAAACTGAAGCAACTCAATCACATGAAAATAAATAACCCGATTTAAAAATGAGGAAAGGACCTCAATAGACATTTCTTGAAAGAGGACATAGAAATGGCCAACAGATAGATGAAAAAAAGCTCAATGTCACTTATGATGGAAATACAAATTTAAACTACAATGAGATAACACCTAAGATTTGTCAGAATGGCTATTGTCAGAAAGACAAAAGATAAGAGTTAAGGAGGATATGGAGAAAAGGGAAGCCTTGTACAGTTTGTGAGGATGTAAATTAGTACAGCCATTATGGAAAAGTGTACGGAAGTTTTTCTAAAACTCAAAAGCTGAATTACCATATGGTGTAGCAGTCCTACTTTTGGCTATATCTATAAAGGATTTGAAATCAGTATGTCCAAGAGATATGTACACTCTGTGTTCACTGTAGCATTTTTCACAATAGGCAAGTTATAGGATCAATGTACGTGTTCATCATGGATGAATGGATATGGAAAATGTGGTATATATTGAGAATGGGGTTGTATTAAGCCCTCAAAAGAAGGAGGTTGTGTCTGCAACATGGATGAACCAACATTTAATATGGATGAACTTTGCTAAGTGAAATAATTCAGGCACAGAAATATAGGTACTGCATGTTCTCCTTTATATACAGAAATATAGGTACTGCATGTTCTCCTTTATATGTACACTTTATTTATTTTTAATTTTTATTGAATCATAATTGATCGTACACATTTTTGCAGTTCAACGTTGGGATACATCGATCAAATCAATATTACTAGCATATTATATTGTTACAAATACTACTTGTTCTTTATGTCCCTTGTCCAATCTCACCCCATGCCCCTGCCCCCTCTAATTACCCTAGATTTCTTCTCTCCTTCTGCAAGAGTAATGGTTACTCTGTTGATTTGTTGCCTAGATGATCTGTCCAAAGCTGAGATGTGTGTTCAGGTCCCCCAACATGATCATAGAGCAGGTGGTGCTTCTATCACTCTGAAATGATCTTTGTGTGGGGAGACATCCTCTACTTTATCTCTGCTAGTGACTCTCGCTGTATCAGTGTACTCCAGTGGCTAGCGGACCATCTGCATGGTGGTTGTGGCATCTAGCCACTTTCACATCAGCCATGGTTATTGTGCTAGCTGTGGTGAGCCAACCACGTGGAGGTGATGTTATTGGCATGCTCCTTGGCACTGGTGGTGTGACTGGCTGTGGGAGTGTCTGGGCCCCAGCTCCATCCATCGGGTCCATGGGCGGAACCTGAGGCGCTGTTGTCATGTGGCTGGTTGAGTGGAGGGAATCCCGTTCCGCAGCTCTATCCCTCGGGTCCCTGGGTGGGCCCTGAGGCACTGGAGTAGTGCGCCTGGTTGAGGGGAGGGGGCACCATTCCCCGGATCCGTGACTCATGTCCCTGGGCAGAACTGTGGTGCTAGTTGTGTTTCCGAGCTGAAAATAAGCTTTTTTCTTTTGCTTACTTCTAAAATGCTCGAACATCCTTGGGGGACCAGTACTTGAGCTCTGTGGTTTAGTTAGATTGCTGCTTTGCTGCTCCTTCCCTAGGGAAGGCTTTTTGTGCAGCACAGGTTATAGTGGTTGACTTTATAGGTACTTCTTGCTGTCCAGAGACTCAGTGCACCTGGGTTGTGTAGTAACTCTGATCTGAGCCTGAATCTCCATCAAACTTCACCCCATGCAATTCTATGCACCCCATGAAATTCTATAATCCTAACCTGTCTCCTCTGAGTGGTCTTATGCCGATTGGAGTACAGATCAGCTGTCCTTGCTGTGCCGTAGTGTTTCCCTGTGGACCCATCTCTCGCACTGCCTATGGTGCAAACACTTCCTTGGGACGGGCTGTGCACCAGTCCATTGTGATGATTCACCAGCCTTGGAGTGGGTCCATTTTTGGGGTTGTTATGGCTCCTCGCTCCTACATGGGTCAACAGGAACCCTATGAGTAGTTTTGTTTGTCTGGGGGCCACCAAAGCCCTCTTCTCCCCTGCCGCCTCCAAGCAACTCCTCTGAAGGGCACAGTTGCAGCTTTTGCTGGCTCCTGCTCTATGTGCTCAGTGGCTGCAGCCATAAAGCAACCGCAGCACAAAATGATGAACGGTTTTTTCTTTCTCTCATCATGTCTTATTCTGCCTTCATGCACTCTGTAGGTCTCTCCTCCTCTTCCCCTGAGCTCTACTGGCCCCAGCTTGACTGTTGTTGCTTTTTTATATAGTTGTAAAGTGGTTGATTTCTGAGAGAGAGTGATGCTGGGGACCATTTATTCTGCCATCTTGACTGGCTTTAATAAAATATTTATTATATACAAAGAAATGCTAATACACAATATGATATACTATTATAAGAAACAGTCCACCAAGAACTCATATAATGAGTGGCTAAAGTGGAAATTTTGAATAGCAAAACAATGGCACTGAACAAACAAGGAAGAAGTCAATAAAACAATGTCAAAAAATATTAGTTTTCTAAATATCTGTGATAAAACAATCTATAACCATACAGAACATTTTGCAATATTAACAAGTGGCATGTGAATGTTTTATTGCATAATGCATACTGAAAAACCATCATCTGTAAATCATAATGGAAGTTAATAAAACATTCTAGCAACCCAAGATAAAACAAGCAGGCAAAGAATTAATAAGCACATTAATTAATAAGCCAAGTGTTTTTTGCCAGTTGAGTTCATGGTGTAAAAATCCCTTTCTCTTTCAGGGCTGACATAGCTTTGTGCAAAGTGAGTGTCTTGGCTGTAGGTTGTTTGAAAATAGGCTTCCCTACTATTAACTTGAATTACATGTAATCACAGTTCGTTTACTAAAGAATCCTATTCGTCTTGTGTTCTCAAAAGCAGAATTTTATGGTTGTGAAGTTTCATAAGTCTGTTCAATATAAGTATTATTTTTGATGTAATACCATGTTTTTCAGTGTGATATGTTTGCTTATGTACTGTTATTAATTGGAAACCTATGATTCTTTATATTTTGTAGGTATCTTTCTTGAATGTGTAATGAAGGAATTACCATCAAAAGGGAACAAGAGTATAGGAGAAGTATTTCAAACAATGATGTTGGAAAGACATGAAAGCCATGACATTGAAGACTTTTCCTTCAGGGAAGACCAGAAAAATATACATGTCTTTANTTTTGTAGGTATCTTTCTTGAATGTGTAATGAAGGAATTACCATCAAAAGGGAACAAGAGTACAGGAGAAGTATTTCAAGCAATGATGTTGGAAAGACATGAAAGCCATGACATTGAAGACTTTTCCTTCAGGGAAGACCAGAAAAATATACATGTCTTTGAATGTCAGTGGAGAGATAATGAAAGAAATTGCAATGGAACATCCATGACCCTTAAAGAGAGTCTCACTGGTAGAAGAGATCAACATGTTAGAAGGCATGCAGGAAAAATGCCTGAGGAGACTCAGCTTGGATTTAGCTTTCAGTCACATCTGCCTGAGCTGCAGGTGTCTCAGTCTGAATGGAAAGTTTATGAATGTCATCAAATTGAGAAACCTCTGAAAAAAGATTTTTCAGTTTCACCAGTTCAAGGAATTTGTTCAAGTGTCAAAACTCTCATTTCTAAACAGTATGGGGATGACTTTATCTATTCTTCATCACTCACACAAGGACAAAGAGCAAACACGTGGGAAAAACCTTACAAACTTAATGAATGTGGCAAGGTCTTTAGTTATCCTTCAAAACTTACAATACATCAGAGAGTTCCTACTGGAGAGAAACCTTACAAGTGTACTGAATGTAGTAAAGTTTTCACTCGAAGTTCACATCTTGCAATACATCGGAGAATTCATACTGGAGAAAAACCTTACAAATGTGATGAATGTGGCAAGGTCTTCAGTCAGTCTTCAAGTCTAGCAAATCATCGGAGAGTTCATACTGGAGAGAAACCTTACCAATGTAATGAGTGTGGCAAAGCCTTTAGTATTAGTTCAAATCTAACTACTCATCAGGCAGTTCATACTGGAGAGAAACCTTACAAGTGTAATGAATGTGGCAAAGTCTTCACTCGAAATTCACATCTTGCAAATCATTGGAGGATTCATACTGGTGAGAAACCTTACAAGTGTAATGAGTGTGGCAAGGCCTTTCGTACAGATTCAAAGCTAACTATACATCAGGTAATCCATACTGGAGAAAAACCTTACAAATGTGATGAATGTGGCACGGTCTTTACTCAAAGGGCAAACCTTGCAATTTATCGTAGAATTCATACTGGAGAAAAACCTTACAAATGTGATGAATGTGGCACGGTCTTTACTCAAAGGGCAAACCTTGCAATTTATCGTAGAATTCATACTGGAGAAAAACCTTACAAATGTGATGAATGTGGCACGGTCTTTACTCAAAGGGCAAACCTTGCAATTTATCGTAGAATTCATACTGGAGAAAAACCTTACAAATGTGATGAATGTGGCACGGTCTTTACTCAAAGGGCAAACCTTGCAATTTATCGTAGAATTCATACTGGAGAAAAACCTTACAAATGTGATGAATGTGGCACGGTCTTTACTCAAAGGGCAAACCTTGCAATTTATCGTAGAATTCATACTGGAGAAAAACCTTACAAATGTGATGAATGTGGCACGGTCTTTACTCAAAGGGCAAACCTTGCAATTTATCGTAGAATTCATACTGGAGAAAAACCTTACAAATGTGATGAATGTGGCACGGTCTTTACTCAAAGTTCACACCTTGCAATTCATCGTAGAATTCATACCAGGAAAAAAACCTCACAAGTGTAGTGAGTGTGACAAAGCCTTTAGTGTGCATTCCTGCCTAACTGCCCATCAGGTAATCAATCCATTATGGAGTTAAACCGTATATATGTCATCAGTGTGTCAAATACTTTTTTCAGTGTTCATGGCTTGCTACCCATGATTCCATTACAAAATATAATTATTAAGAATGTTTGCAAAATACTGTTTAGATTGCCTTACATATTTTTAGACTAATGAAAAGTAATGTGTCAAAATGTTTATTAGATAATATCTCTGATTAAACAATTTTTCTGGACATTTTTCTAAAAGCTATAAAATGTCTATTTCAGATTGTGATATTCTACAATATATTACAGAATGACTCAATTGTAGTCGAATTACTTTTTGATTTTGTATGAAAATTTTTGTATCATTTTTTAACTTCCATGTGTTATAATCCAGGTTATGTAGTTAGTGCAGATTTCTTCCATGTGTTATGCCAATAAAAAAATTGGGATATTTATATGAAGATGTTTTGCTACCAAATGTTGTATGAAAATGCACATAAGGCAATGATAGGTACAAAGTAGTTCTTTATATGTTACCAACAAAAAGCAGTGTTCCTTTAAGTGCTTATGTCAATGAGAGATCTGGGATGATACAAAATGATGAACTAAAATAAACCTAGATCAAAAACAGGTTAAAAATCTTATCAAATCACATTCCAGTATATGTCTGATTCAGGATCAAATCCATGGTTTTTGGCTTCAAAGACGAATCTCTTAACAATGCTGTTTACTAGCAAGGCTAGTTACTTCTTTCCTTTAACTGTTCATCATCTGTACTGATTTTGTTAGCATCTCTAAATTTTAATGGTTAATCTTCATATGATTGTAGTAAGTTTCTATTATGTGTGTACTTTTATCTCCTAGGCCAGTATTACTTATGAATTAATTCTGAACTGGAGATATGCTGATTACCACATAATCTCAGAGCAAACATTATTCAATATCAAGTTGGATTTATAGACCCAAGAATTTTTCACTGTTATGGTGGAAAAGAGAAGACATTTTCCTTTAGCAAAGAACTGAGTCAAATGATACAAACTACCAAAATAATTGCACAGTAGTCCAGGGAGCTCAGGTAGAGAACCTGAAATATGAGAAAGAGATAAAACATTTTAAGGAGAGACTCAATTATTATAAATTTCTGGTCATGTACTTATTTGATTATTGATGGAGGGTTATCAGCAGAAATTATTAATGTTAGTGAAATAGTTATTGAAATAGACACAAATGAATGACATATATGTCAAATTGTATCTAGAAGTTATGGACTTGTGTACATTAATTAAACTGAAATTCAGTTGTGAGTGTAGGGGTGCCACTGGAATTTAAAAAATAAATGGGTTTATTGAGATTTAATTTACATAGCACGGTATTGTGTCGGGCCTTAAAAACTAATGCCACCTTAAGTGACATTACAAGTGGCGCCATTATGGGCCCACAAGGGCTTATTAACGTGGCAGCCGGAGATGGCACCGGGAGGAAGTAGGGTGGGAGTATCTGCGGGAACCTTGCCTTAGCCCTTATTGGCCAAATACACACTTTCGCACTCATAAACACTGCGTGATTGCAATAGCTAGGATTGAGACAGGATGCATGCTCTTATAACCTTTAAGCTGATTGGAGGATGTAAAAACCTCCCTTCCTCATTTGCCTTTAAAAGCAAGTGCTTGTGTGATAATAAACAGAACTGCTCGACAGAATCCCTGCCGTGTCTGTGTGTCCTTTAACGGGCTGGTTGGGGCTGACGGCTGTGCTCACCTCTCTTTACGGCTCTCTTCCCCCGTCTCCTCTCAACGGGGACTGGAGGGAAAGAGGAATTCGCGGCTCTCTTCCCCCATCTCCTCTCAATGGGGACCAGAGGGAAAGACAAAACCAGGCCATCCGCCCGCCCACCAAAAGGGACACCTAGGGAAAGACTGATAACGAGGCTAGGGCTGTTCGGGTTGGCCCGCAGCTGACCCGACAGTATTGTATATATTAAGTATATAATTTAATGTTTTTAGTGTATTTACAGTTATGAAATATCCTTACAATCCCCTTTAGGACAATTTTATCAGTTCCCCCCCCCCAAAAAAATAGCCAAGAAAGAAACCTACCACGCATATGTTTGAAGGTGGAAACTACTGAAGCGTCTATATGTTTCCTTCTTGGCATGAAACTGCATTGATGATAATAACTTTTTCTAAAGTACACCTGCAAATGCAATAAGGAGATTATTCTCCTATGATCAAGAAACTATCATTCTTTCTCTGTTTGATAACAATTATTATCTCCATTAAGGTCATCATATGACAAGCATTAGACAACAGACAGATACTGTTGCCATTTTTATACAGACATAATTTCTGTGTGTAATTAGATCACTGCATTAATTTCCATTTTTATCATTATATATACATGGAGGTTTAATAGCAATTACTCTACATCCTGAAAGTAGTGCCATACACTCTTGATTAGCTGGTAAATCAGAGTTAAAACCATAGATAGATGAAATGTCAGAGTAAATGCTACATAGATAAAACTTCAACAATCACCATCAGGGAGGAGTACATTAAATTCTATTAGCAGCAGTCATGATTAATGTGGCATTTAGGACCTTTATCTTTTTTCCACAGACTCACTCCAAATTTCAACAATTATTCCTCCTACTTCTAAGCATCTGCCACTGCAATAGTTTTTACCCCCAAAGAATCCCTTTCTTTAGATGTGAGCATTTACACTGACTTTTTAAAAACTTTTTTAAGTGAGCAGAAATTTATTTAACTCAGTTTTCTGCAGACCGGGAAGTCAAAAGCATGGTGCCAGGACCTGACAAGGGTCTTCATCTGAATTTGGTGGAAGAATCAGCAAGTGCAGGAGACAGAGAGGNACATTAAATTCTATTAGCAGCAGTCATGATTAATGTGGCATTTAGGACCTTTATCTTTTTTCCACAGACTCACTCCAAATTTCAACAATTATTCCTCCTACTTCTAAGCATCTGCCACTGCAATAGTTTTTACCCCCAAAGAATCCCTTTCTTTAGATGTGAGCATTTACACTGACTTTTTAAAAACTTTTTTAAGTGAGCAGAAATTTATTTAACTCAGTTTTCTGCAGACCGGGAAGTCAAAAGCATGGTGCCAGGACCTGACAAGGGTCTTCATCTGAATTTGGTGGAAGAATCAGCAAGTGCAGGAGACAGAGAGGAGTGAAAAGGTCCAAATTCACTTCACTAAAACTCACTCTAATGATAACTAATCCCCTCTCATGAAAATGTCATTAATGTTTTCATACAGGCTTCTCCCTCATGAACCAACCACCACTTAATAGGCCACGCTTACTAGCCTCCTAACACTGATGCACTGAGGACTGTATTGCCAACACATGAACTTTTGCAGACACGTTCATACCACAGCAGATGCACATCAAGCAATCCAGAGTCCACACCACAAACTACCTCCGTTAACAGTCTCTCACACTCCTGGCTGCTATCCTCTTGCCCTAATCACCTAAGGGTCAGGTACAAGAACATTAGAGACAAACCTGTGCCCCAGAAGCCACTGAAATTTATCAAACTAGCCAACCCTAAGCCTGCTTTCCCTGACTCGCCTTTTCCTTCCCATTACACTGACTCCTGATACACCTCTTTCCATTACAGTCTCTCCCTCACAGACTGAAATAGAAAAAAAGAAAAAAATCGGATTCCTTCCTGCTGCCAGGATTGAGGGTTTAGTGTGACATACAAGTATGCAGGGAATGGGAAAAGTGAGGATGCTGGTCCCTGAGTTATGTATGTGATTCTGACATACTACCTCTCAGACTTAACAATTTATTTATTCATGAGTAGTGACAACTGAGAGTGCACACTTGCTGAGCTGAGACTATTTCTGGAAACCATTTTCTAATTTTCAGTACCCAGAAACAACCACGAGTTCCTAATGACCATCACCACAGTCCTTGTGGAGTGTTTAGTAGAATCTGTTCCTGTTCCTTGATTCCTGAAGACCAAATGGGTTTCACACGGAGGAAGCAAAATATACCAAGGTCTGATATTTGATGGACAGTGATTTTTAAAATGTTTTTGTATGCCTATTTGCTCTGTGTATCTGATTCAGAGAAATGTCGCTTCATGTTATTGTCAAATTTCTAATTTTATTGTGTTGAGATTTTGAGGTTGTGTGTTTGGGTTTTATTTATTTATTTATTTTTTGTCACGGTCAAAGTTCTAGAATTTGATATGCATTCTACATATTAGTCATATGTCAGATGTGTGACAGGCAGATATATTCTATTATTTGTAGCTGTTCTTTTCATTCTCAAAAATCTTTCACAAATCAACCACTTTTAATTTAATGAAGTATGATTTATGGATTTTTTTTCTTTTATACCTCATGGTACTGGTGCCATGTCTAAGAACACTTTAAACAGCCTGAGTTTCTAAATATTTTCCTGTTCTTCTTGAATCTCTTGTACATTAAAGTGTCATGGGTTTGTTGAGCTAGAGTTAGGGTCTGGAGCTCACAGATCCCTTGAGCCCATTCACAAACCCTTCACATGCAGGTCTACAAGCGAGGTAACCAGATAAAAATGGTCCTTGGAGTCTTGGTTGAAGAAGGAATAGTCTTTATTCACCACAGACAACACTATGAGCTAGGCTGTACAAAGAGAAACTCAAAAACTCAACTGCTACTGGCAAAATCCAAAGAAAAACTGAAACTAAACAGTTGCCAGCAGAGTAAACATGCTCTATTTTTAGATGTGAGCTCTGCTACCAGCTCTACTTCACAAACTGAAGAATACACAATAGCAATTAACTAAAAAGAGACTTGGTGCACATGCACACTAAATACACCCACACACAACTTGTTTACAAGAAATGTCGAGGGATCAAAAGGAAAAAAAAAAAATGATCTGGGCCAGCCCGGTGGCGCACTGCTACAGTGCGCCACTTGAGAGTGTGGAAGCGCTCCCGCCGAGGGTTCGGATCCCACATACAGACTGGTTCCACTCACTGGCTGAGCGAGGGGCGGGCGCAGCACCGAGGGTTGCGATCCCAGTGCCGGTCCCGGTCTGGTACGGGCGCGACACTGAGGGTTGCGGTCCATTGCCGGACACGTAAAAAGACAAAAAGGAAAAAAAAAAAAAAAAAAGAAATGTCGAGGGATCCTTACTAAATTATCCTATTTTCCCCATAATGCACCACTTCAGGGTTCCTCACCATACAAGCTACGTGTTAAAAAAAACATCCACCATGTTCCCTTAGTGAGGATAAGTCACCTTTTTTTATACAAGCTATTGTTTGTTCGATATGGCTTAAGGCTTGTCCTGTAGTTCTCTCCTTTAGTCGCACATGTCTGGTTAGTGGTCATCATTGTGATTTTCCATGGGAATCTTGTAGTCATACTGATGTGAAGTTCAGCGCATATTCAGTAGACAATCACACCAATGTATGTATGTACCCAGTCGACTCTGG